CGTGCAGCCGGAAGGAAGTTCGTTCAAAAGCCGGTATCCCGAGGTAACTGAAATTTTATAGAATTATGTTGCAGGCTGACTATTTTTACAACCCCACTTAATTAGTATTTTCGAAACGAAAACGCATTTCGGAATTTCGGTTGACATTTCATGAGTCATCCCACCTACTGTATATACGCGTCCGCTCAAATGTCAAGTCCGGTAGGTGCCAGCCCGCCTATCATTTTTGCGTGTGCCGGTTAAAGAAGCTGTGAGGGTAATCATTCGTTTTGATCATCCATCGAACTTATCGTAATTCAGCAAACTTGTTTTCCAGATAGCTGCACTGCGTTCCAACGCATCTCTATTGCGACCTTTTGTAGATGCAGCCGTGCCCGGTCGGATGGTTGCATCTGAAGTTGGGAACTTGCGCGGTATTCTTAAGTTCTCCTTACACTTTGATTTTTAGACCATCGTAACTCTTGTGACACAAAAGAAACATCCGGGAAGACCATTTTGTCATTCTCTCCGTCTGTTATCGAGAAGACGGTGCCGATATGTTCTGCAAATGTTAGCACGGGATTCCAGTCGATGACGGCGAAGGCACCTACAACAGACGGAGTCTAAAATTTTGTTTGGAGTGCTAGATGACCAGTGACTACCTGCCCTGGGGTTAAAAAGTCAGCTAGCTTTGCACATCAGCGTAAAGTGCTATGCTGAACATGAAATACGTTTTTGAACGAGGCGTAAGTGAGTGGAAGATTTTGGTCTAACCAAGTTGATGCTCTGTTGCATCGCATTTACGGCGCAGTGAGATTTTGATGGTCTGGACGATTTGGGAGTGAATTCAAAAACAGCGAAATAATAAAGCTGCAATTTAGTTCTGCAATTCAGTCCCCCTCTTGTTATCTCCCTGCTGGAACTCAGTCCGCATGTGTTCGATGGGGACGGATGAAAGTCTGTCGCTGTTCCAAGGAAGTTGGGCACGTTCTGTTCAAAAAAACTCCACAAGTACAAACGTGTGGATAGGGTGAGGTTAAACCACACGCACAAATTTTTTTCTGACTACTCACTATAGCAGGAAGCGCAGGGGGTCGCCTTTATGTTCCACCCAATGGGATTTTCAAACTAAGCCGCCATTTTGCCACTTCCGTCCGGCCAAACTCGCAAGATTTCCTTGCGCACAGAAAGGGAGATTTTTTTATTTACTAAGGTGCTAATTGAAGACGCCTTAAGTGGATTTGGTGAGAAGTAACAAACCCGAGTGGTTAGTTAGAAGTTGACTGGAGGAAGAATCATTTATTGGGAGGAAGAAGAAGAAGATGCAATTGCTGGTACAAAAAGTCTATTGGCGTGCCAGTTCGGATCCTCACTTGAACCCATCATCAGATACAGTCGCAGATAAGGGTAGTGGAGTCACGTAGAGTGCGGTATTTACAAAACATAGCTGCCGTGGGACCACATGCGTACCATATCTAAAAGCCCTCGAGATCACAAATGCGGGTCGGAGGTGATGCGATGATGACTCGTTAGTCCGCGTCCGAGTCGTTGATTGTCGCAATTTCATCATCAGTGTTAGATGTTGGCGTGATTATGACCGAGTAGTTTTGCTCGCCGTCGCTGGAATTATTGCTCGCCCGCGCCCTACCCATGCAACTGATTCCCCTGCCCAGGGGAGCGTCGATGAGCTTGGTGATGGATTGTGGGAATGAAAACCATGACTCGAGCAGCTAGCGGTTCACGTGGTTGTCGGCTCTTGCAAGGATTTCGGTCTCCTGAAACTTAAAGCTATGGCCGGGTTCTGTGGAATGAGCTGCTACCTGAGAGCTAGCGTCTTTCCTCCTCCCCGTTGCTGCGTGCTCAGCCATTCGCGTCCGCAGTTATCTCCCAGTTTCTCCGATGTGATTGCTCTTTATGCAACTGCATTAGATCTGGTAACCGACTCCAGACGTTTCTTGGCTTAGCAGTGGGTCTTTTGGCCTCATTACCTGGTCACAAAAAGGCCTCTACAGATAAGGTTGGAAACTGCCGATGGACCTTGAGCAGTCAGGTTGTCTAAAATGCACGACATGTGTTCCCTGAATCGTTCATCGGTATTCGCTCTGACAGGAATTAAGAAGGGCTGAGGGTATTCAGGCAGCATATCTATACTATTGTAGCAAGCCCAGCTCAAATGCAACCTCCGAGTAAACGGATCGCAGGCTCCCATCTTAAAATTCAATCCCCCCCCCCCTACAGTCGTTGCACCGCGTAAAAAATGCACCCCAGAATGCGAAATGGGTGATCTGCAGTCGGAAAAAAGACTGAGATTTGGTTTTTTGCTGGTGAAGAATAAGAACTAATTACACAAAATACACTGTTTCTAGTCATTATTTTGTTGGGAGGAAAGTGCTGAGCTCAAACCGATAAGGTAAAATTTACCCCTTTGCACGCAGCACTCCTTCTGCCAACGTAAAACGAACGAACCAATCGGACACCGCATGTGTTTGGCGCATTTGTGCTGCAACCCATTCGATTGGTTTTTGAGTTTTGCAATTTTTATCGGGCAGTAAATCCGTAGACTGACCTTCTGCTGCTTACTGCTTTTAGACCGACCCAACAAGGGTTGATTAACTCCTCATCTTTCAAAAGAATTTTTCCCCTAGACAGACTACATCTATAACTTCGTAAAATATCTCTCGCTATGTGGGGGTTCTGGTGGCCGTTGGAGCTGGTTAACGTCGCACATGACGATCGGTTAAGTGAATCATCAAGACAAGATGTTTAAAGACATCACCGGAGACAGCTTCGCACTGACCGGCTTCCGTTACCTCCGGAAGAATTATGTTGTTTTCAGGCAATTGTCTTCCCATCCCTAGTCACCCCTGAATATTCTTCCGCATTAACGTGGGAAACTAACTTCGTGAATAAATTTAATTAGTGGCTTCTCTTTGTTTACTCCTGCCGCTACTGGCTACTTCCCTGAAGGAACCTAAGTTCTGGCGTTAACAGCTCCTTCCAGGATGAAGATAACCTTCAAACGACATAAAAGGCCCTCCAATTGTGTTCTGCCTGTTGAATGGCGTCTAGGATTCAGGACCTATTTTCTTCCCGCGGAATGACCTCAACTGAAGTCAAATTCAAGACACTTTCGCTCTTTCCAAACAGAGCCTGCATAAAGCCCAAAAAGCGCTTCGACAAGAAACCTTGATAAACTTAAGCTTTTAGATTTCCTCGGAAATCTCTGTTCGAACTTGAAGTAAATTCTTCGGCACAAATCTTCTTAAGTTCATTTCGAAAGTTCCTTTGAATATTTGAGCTGAAATTCACCTTCGATAGCAAAATAAACGCGTTATGTTTGCATCCTACTCACAAACAGTCAGTAGTAAATATATATGCATTAATTGACGCACAATGTCAAACGCATAGACGTAATCTGGAATGGACGCACACCGATCTATTTGGTTTCACGAAGCAAACAAGCTCCGTATGGGTGGCAAAGGTCACGAACAGACAACAAATTACCAGGCCGAAGTCGACCACGTCATAACAGCACCGAGGAAGGACGACAGCGAGTGAGGGTAGATTGATACAGTACTGCTTCGGGTTTATTCTGCCTTCATTAAGCCAATCATAGCCCTGACCAACAACTCCGTCCAGAAACACAAGACATGCGCGCGAACGCACCTGGCGCAGTTGGTCCACCACTGGGGTCCACCAGTCATCCCTCTTCGTTGCTATTATGACCTGGTCGACTTCGGACTGGTAATTAGTTACCTATTCGTGACCTTTGCCACCCATTCGGAGCTTGTTTGCTTCGTGACGCCAATAGATCAGTATGTGCCCATTCCTGATTGAATAAATACCCGATCTCCAGCGACAGAGAGTGGCATGTGGCGAGGCACTGACGAACTTCGGTTCGATGAAGTGCCTATGACCCATCTGATAGACTCCAGTGGTGGACCAACAGCAGCAGGTGCGTCTGTGCGCATGTTTTTGTTTCTGGTCCCAGCTGCTGGTGGTCAGGGTTATGATTGGCTGAATGAAGGCACAATAAGCCCGAAACAGTACTGTATCAATCTACCCGCATTCTCTGTCGTCCCTCTTCGCACAGACGTGTGTTTCGCCGTTTCTTCGCTGCTGTAGGACGTATTTGAGAGAGTTTCGGCTCGTCGATGGGTCCCCAGCGACCCGCATGGGTTTTATGGTATGTACTCCAGTTTTTAATTTCAAGCTTCTCAGTTTTCCCAGAAATTGATCCGCCAACCTGAAGTAGCTTCTTAGGCACAACTCAGACTTTCTGGCCGTGCTTGTTGGTGTAGACTTACTGGGGCCTGTAACCTTGCCTTGTTTTTGCATTTCATAGGAGAACATTTGCATATCCGTTGCTCACTGTTTTTGCGTCGATAGGACGTTTGTTTTCTGGAAAATCCTGCCTGTTTGTCTACTGTAACTCATCCATCGTACACACGGAGGAAAAGGCGCTCGTATTTTAGGTGCGTTCACTTAATGCGCGTCTGACGTAATCGGCGGACATCGGCATTGTTCTAAAGGTGCAATAATAAAGTAGACCGAAGTGAGCTGATAATGAGGAAAGCTCTCTCTCTCTTCCCGCACACAACTTATTCACATGACAAGTTACTCGCAACCTGACCGAGTGTCCTAGGCCGCCTGATTTGTCTTACCGGTTTTGTGATCGTAGGCGGCTACGCTGAATCTCGCACAACGCGCCGGTTCGCGGCACAGTCAAAATCTCGCACCTAGGACCTTGGGGTGAATCGCAACACAGTCTACCTGCCAATCGGGCGCCTTGAAATGGCTGATCATTCTATTGGAGAATGTGTGCGCAATCGGATCGGCGCCGGCAACCGGCCAAGGCAACAGTCACTACGCCCTTGCATTCTGATTGGTCTGCGTGTATAGGCCAATGGGAGGCCTTATTCGTTACTGGACGCCTTTGTGGGGCTGGTTTCTTGTTCAACACGATCGCTGCCAAATAAAACTGGCAGTTTTTCGCCCGCCGACTCTAGCTTTATTTCGACATGACAGACAGCTCAAAGCTGAACCCAGAGGACCGGGAGCGAATTGCTTCGCTCTTCAGCAAACTTGACGTGGACAAAGATGGCCGAGTCAGCGTGAGTGAACTAGCCTCCATAATCAGAACAGAGCCTCGCCAGGCTGAAGTCGGACATGAGGCTGCCAAACGGGTTGTTGGTTACGGAAAATCCATCAGCACAACTGAAGCCCAACAGACCATGTCTTTCCAGGAATTCGTAGACTATGTGCGTGATACGGAGACCCAACTGAAACTGGCCTTCCGACAAGTGGATCGCAATAAAGACAGCCGAGTGGATATTCAGGAAATTCAGACCGCGATGCGCGAACTGGGCATCGAGGTGGGCGAGAAGGAGGCGGCCAGACTGCTGCGCAAAATGGACAAGGACGGATCCCTGTCAATTGACTACGAGGAGTGGCGGGATTTTCTCCTTCTCTCTGGCAGCTCCAACATCAAGGATATATTCCATTATTGGAGGAGGGCATCGGCTGTGGATATCGGCGAGGGTATTCTGGTGCCTGACGACTTTACTGAGGAGGAACGGAAGTCCGGAGAGGCGTGGAAAACACTCGTCGCGGGGGGTGAGTGCAGCGACGTCATGCTGACAGGATTTTAGACTTTTTGGCTGTGCAGTGCACATCCATCCTTTCTTAAATAATCGACAAACAGTCTGTAGAAATTCAAAACAAACTTGGAACATCATTTATCGCAAACCTGACAGTTTATGACAGGTTTGGGGAAGCAAACTTGAAACAAGGCGCTTAATTGCTTCTTTCGCATAAGGCGCGTTTAAAAACTCTTGAGGCCTTTCAAGCCGAAAGGCTTACTTAGTTAAAGTTGCCTTCCCAAGCCAGCTGTCCATCCCATTAACAATGATGGTTTAGTTGTTTCTGTAGTATATGATTTCTCCGTTACCTTTATGCATATACAAAGCCTATTATTTTCTCAAGCAGAAACGACACTAACTTCCTTTTCCACTTTTCTCGTACACCAAATTATGACTTTTTGAAACTACTTTTCACAACACGGAAAATGATCTATTCTTTGACTAATTAAACCCACCATATTTCCTGTATTTTGTATGATTAGATTCCAAGTAGGTTACTAAAAATTACGTCACAAGGGATTCGCGTACGATGAGCCATTTGGAAGTTGTAAAAATGTTGATGATCTTCTGTCGAAAGACTTTAGCTGCTACGCTTAAATAATATATAAATACCTCATGCTTTTCAGTACAAAGTGTAAAAATAGCTTATTTTTTCACGATGCGTCGTCATGAAAGAAGAAGTTAGTAGAACCCTATATAAGCTTCCCAAATCAGTAAAAAAGTCTTACTGAATTGTAATGGAAAAGTCGCGGTACATGAAGTAGTCTGGAGCTGGCTAACAGGCCTAGCAGAATTGAAACTCAAGTCCATTTGAAAGTGAGTTTCGGCGCACCTGGATGAATATATCAAACGTCTAAACTGCGTACAGTTGCTGATAGAAACGAATAGGCGGAGTCCCAAAAAGTAGTTCAGAGGAAGAAGATGTGATTGCTGGAACAAGAAGCTTATTGGTCAGCCGTTTCAGAGTCTCATTCGAACCCATCATCAGATAGTGTCACAGAAGTGAGAACGCCACACTAGGAAGGAGACGCTGCAGTCTGGATCCCAGTTCCGAAGTCTATCCCAGAGTTGGCAACCTTATAAGTCATGGAATTTAGGGCAGTGTCGAAGCTTACGATCCAGTTTGGTCAGTTGTAGACAGAAAAGGTCGCCTGAAACCGTCGTCTCATAAGTGGTGCACACGTCATTGACCCTCGCTTGAGAATGTTGCCTCTTCTACTGATGACCACCAGTCGACAGTTCGACCAGCCGCATGCCTACCGGGGACTTGCGTGTAAACTTGCTTATCGCGAAGGGGGTTTGCATGACATCTACCCCACTCTCACTCCCCAGAATTATCGTATCCCGACGGCAGGACAATCGGTGATTGACCAGGCTGAGTCTACGTCCACACGTACAACATGAGTACTGATCCCTGACTCCACAGAAGCTGGCGGTAAGAATACGCAAACACATACACACATGACAGTACAACCGTCGTGTCCGACGATGTGCACCGTATTCTCCACAGCAGGGTGGAAACAGGGATGATGACTTGTGCGTAAATTTAGTTTATGGTGATAGTAGACTTGCCCAGCACCAACCGCACAATATCCTCCTCCCCCACCTGGACGCGGTGTCAAGAAAGACTCAAGAAGACCAAAGAGGTGGGAGGGCGCAGGTGGATGGCACGGTCGGGCCCGCACATTGACGTTTCACTCCAAACCCCATGGTCCACGCAGCAAATAACCGGGTTTGTGATTAACAACAGCACTGGCGGGGGGTGGCAGGGTCCCTGTATGCGCGACGTACGCCGGCAACCGGGTCCGCCACCGCACCCCGAAATGTTGGCATTTGTTACGGTGTGCAACTCCGATAATGCCTGTTAGAGTCCGATAAGGCTCGCGAGTTGGTCCAGCGCGTCTACCACATGGCCCGTCCGGAGGGCAAACACGCACAGACACACGCACGATAGCTCGACCGTCGGTTTCGACGGTTTCTACCGTATTTTCCACAGCAGGATGAGAGCATGGACGGTGACTTGTGCGAAAATTTAATTTATGGTGATTGTAGACTTGCACAGCATCTACCGCACTCTTTCTTTCCTCACCTGAACCCGTTGTCAAGACAGAGTCAAGAAGACCGGGGGTGGCAGAGGACGCACGTGGATGGCACGGTCAAGCCGGCACCCTGGCGCTTCATTTCACATCTCCTTGTCCAACTAGCAAATACCCAGGTTTTTGATCGATAGCAACAAAGATCCTGGAGTCCGGCACGGCCGAAGCAGCACCTAGGCGTGCCGTCACACCGGGCTCGGATTCCACGGAGTGGCAGTGCCATAAAGGCGACATTAAGAAGGAGTCATTGCAGCCTGACTCTTTGATCGCCAGTCGGCCGCTCCACACAAACACAACACTGGGCCGACTCCGAGGTCCAAGTTATCCCGTCAATTGGCAGCCTTTCAAGCCACGGCTTTTAGCTTACCGTGGTGGCTTCAAGCGCATCAAATTGTCTATAGTAAGGAAAATGCGTTGAGTCGTCGACCTCAGTCACCCTTCCCATTCCCAGGTCTCAGCCACTGTCCGAGCCGGTCATTTGACTGGAGCACACACACACACGACAGTTCGTCCGTCGATTTCGACGATGACCACCGTGTGCCCCACAGACTGCATTGTGGGAGCAGGGACGGTGATTTACGCAGGGGTTTATAGTGCCAGTAGACTTGCGTAGCATCTACCTACACTCTCTCCTCCTCCCCCGCCTGCGCCCGGTGTCAAGACAGAGTCAAGAAGACCGGAGACGGGGGAGGCCGCAGGTGGATGGCTCGGACGGGTCTTCGCCTTGGCGCTCCACTCCGCACCCCTGGTCCACACACCAAGACCAGGATTTTGACCACAAAACAATGGGGTGGAGGCACTGGTCCAGTTTTGCGACGAATGCCGACAACAGGGTCCGCCAGCGCACCCCGCAAATGTTGGCATTTGTTATTGCGCACAGATAACGCCTGCCAAAGTCCGATGTGGCCCCCGTGTTGGTCCAGCGCATCTAACACGTGGCCCATTTGGAGGGCACTGTCCGAGCCGGTCATTTGACTGGAGCACACACACACACACACACTTTCTCGTCTGATGACCCACATTGCCGAAGTTGTATCCCATTGCCTGCGATCTGTCCCTAACATGACGAGTGCGTGCGCAAGCCTTTAGGTCACTGTATTCAAAAGTACACTGGTGGGAGATGACGACTGCCACAGTCAGCGCACAACATGCACCTTACGGGAGTTGCACCTTGCTGGCAAAATTCCACCACACTGATTGGTCACATCGGCTGCAAGTAGGCGGAAGTTTGCATTAGCCCGTAGCGACGCAAAACGCTGAAACAGGGTAATGATTTGCCCTATATTTTCAGCCATTTCTGGTATTCTATATGCACAACCAAACAGCTAGTAAATTCACTGAGGATACTCTCTTCCACGGTTCCTTTTAAGCAGAAAATGCGCTTTATTAGGGGCATGGAGGTTCGATGGTCTGCGTTTCTGGTAGTGTAAGACGAATCGGCATCACAGCCGGGAAAGAGTGCAAGTAAGGACTACTGAATAATCTGTTAACTAAAACATCGCATCCTCATTTCCGGGACCCATTGGAAAACTACGTCCCCGGTTAATCTTCTCCCACGATACACCGCTTATAGAGGGCCTTTCGATAACCTTACAGTTAGTACAGCCAACGTGATCTCAAACGTATCTGGTTGCTGATAAAGAAGACACTCGCGACAGTTCCGACGTACGTGAACCGGTGGTACCGTATTTCGTCCACTCAGCGAAACCTGGTGTCAGAACAGAAAAGAATTTTAGTCAAAAGTTAACTTTGGGTGAGGGCATCTCCCATCGAAATGGGTGCGCATAGAAACTTGCATTCGCTAATGAAACTGACTGAGAGACCTTAAGCATACCAAACAAATGCCCGCAATTGGGGGGCCTTATGCATTCGCGATACAGCATCATCGAGAAACAATCTATTAGTACCTTCTTCATAGCTGGTTTTTCTCAATAGGCCTGTCCCCCGTTTATTGCAGGAGACCTACAGTGAGTGACCGATCTCATGAAATGATGGCTAAACTTCTTAAATGCGTTTTCGACTATGAAGGATTATTTAGATGGAGTTGCAATACTAATTATCGTACTGCATAACCCTATAGTATTGTGGACTCGCCAGAATGTCGGCTTTTGAAGGCACTTCTTTTCAACCTCCTGTAGAAACTGCATATGGCAAAAAATAACCACTTACTTGGCATATGTGTTTCGCCTTGATTTTCATAGTTTTACAAATTCAAATATATTTTATAGAAAATGTGTAAAAAACCGCGCTTTCTTCTACTCGTTTGGCGGAAAATCACATTATCTCTCGGTTTTTTACAAAATTTTTTAAATAAGAGGTACTTCAAGACAGCGCAATGTCCATTCATGCAGCGTCGTACCTGTCCGTTCATCAATGCTCCCCATGAAATGTACAGCAGTGTCCACATTCATGGCCAAATTTTGTGAGATCTATATGGTATCTTCTTAAAGACCCAGGGGAATATATGATTTCTCCTACACGGGACTAAAATCGCTAAACGCTTGTGCAACGGGTGATGAGGCTCAAAATTAGTCGGGAATCGGGAAACTCTTTCGAAACCTAGGTATACCCCTCCTTTGGATACAAAATGTAAACACAAAGTGATTTTATACCAAACAAGTGAAAGAAAACATATTTTTGTGCATGTTTTTTAAAAAAACTCTATTCAATTTAAGACTATCAAAAATCAACGTGAAAAATGCATTCTAAATAAGTGGCCGTTTTTTATCGAGTGCGATTTCTATAGGAGGTAAAAGAGAAATGCATTCAAAAGCCGACATCCTGGCGAGTACGAAATAATATAGGATTATGTCGCATGATAATCAATATTACAAATAAGTAATCCTCCCTAATGGAAAACGAATTTCAGAACTTCGGCCAATATTTCATGAGATCGCTCACGCACTGTACGTTTTGTGCTTAATTACCCAAAAGAAGTATATCAATTTTGACTTTATGGACAGGCTATGACCACATTTTATGCTCATCGAGAAGTTCCTGTCGGTGTTTTTCTAGGCATTTCCTGAATTTGCGTTTTTACAGCCAGTGACCGATCTCACGAAGTGTCGGTCAAAATTCTGAAATGCGTCTTCGATTAGGAAGGATTACTTAGGTAGGGTTGTAATCTTGATTATCATGCGGCATAATCCTATAGTATTTTGGACTCGCCAGGATGTCGAATTTTGAATGCATTTAAATACACTTCTTTCCAATCTCCTGTAGAAACCGCAAGTGGTAAAATCTGCCTGCCTAATTACCGTGCATTTTACCTTGATTTTCGATGGTCTTATAAATTCAAATATATTTTATAGAAAGCGTGCACAAAATATGCTTCCTTTTACTTGTTTGGTAGAACATCATGTTTTCTTCACATTTTAATGCATTTTCCGTAAAATTTGATTGAATTTATAAGAGCACCGAAAATCAAGGTTAAAAAAGGAGCGTTCATTAGGCAGGCATTTTAAGGTAAGGTGATTCCATAGTAACAGCACAGGTATTAGTCAAAAACCCATACACGCGTGTTTCGCCGATATTCTGCCGCTGCATGGCACAGCTGCGAGGGGTTCGGCTCGTCAGTGGGTCCCCCAGCATTCCCTGTCTGTTTTCTCGTAGATACTCCAATTTAGAAGTTGTAGCTTTTTGATTTTTTAAAAAATTAACTGCGAACTTGGAATAGATCAGTATATTTAAGGTCTATGGGCTCAAACCTAAGTTTTTATGTATGGAATCATCTTGCCATAAAGTATACTGCTAGCTGCCTGCTAGCAATTAATGAATATTACGCGGTTATCCGCTGTGGTTGATGGGCTTCGGCCCAAATTTTCATACATAAAAACTTGGATCTGAGCCTGTAGACCTTAAATATACTGATCTACTTCAAGCTTGCAGTCAATTTCTCAGGAAATTAAAAAGCCACAATTTAATATTTCTTTTATATTTTTAATTCTTTTAAAGTTGTGCTTTATTAAAATACATTTTTGTCCACTTGTTAGTATCAGTATGCGAGTGATTGGCAATCATTCGTAAATCCCGACTCCTTTCATGATTTATGTTACCTACTGTATATTGGTGGACAGTCTCTAGATGGCTAGCGGCAGATTCTTGAGTTTCAGCAGCCAGTTTGTACACCAGGTCGCACCAGGAAGGAGTGATCTGACATGAAGGATGGATGGGCCAAACTCAGTCAGCTTTCTTAATCGGCTTACTGCACAAGCACTGGGATCAGATATCAAATCTCGTAGGTTTAACCAGTCACCTCCAACGAGACAAGTGAACGTACAGGGGGGCGTCTCCAAACATCATCGTACCAACAGTTCAGCAATCGTCAAGGATGACGTCTACCCCCTATCCCCCCTCCCCCAAAGTGGGCACAGTTTCGGTGACCCACAACTGAATTAACTTATAATGACGCAGACTTGCGAAGCATCTTACAAACTTGGATCTGGGCCTATAGACCTTAAATATCCTAATCTAATCCAAGTTCGCAGTTAATTTCTAAGGAAATTAAAAAGCTATAAGTGGGCATGTTTTACTAACTGCGGCTTCTGTAGGAGGTAGAAAAGAGGTGCAGTCAAAAGCACACATCCTGTCGAGTTCAAAATATTATAGGATCGTGCTAGATGATAACCAGTTTTACAACCCCACCTAAGTAATCCTTTCTAATTTAAGACGCATTTCAGAATTCCGGCCGACATTTAATGAGACTGGTCACTCGCTGTGTGCCCGAAGTAAGGAATTTTGAGCCATCTGAACGAGCAGTCACAATATTGGCTGACATTCTTTCAGGTCCCGACTGCACACGCGAGTTTACAGCCGTTGCCGCCACTGCGCCAGTTAAACGAGGAAAAGCAATCAAGGCAGTCGAAATGCAAATAAAATTGTCTGAAAAGGCCAAACCCGCTTTATAAGCACTTGAAACACGTGCCGTTTGGCACCAAATCCAGTTCAGGTACTTGTGCGTGTTTGACTGTTAAACTAGATCCATGACTCATCTGCCTGACATTTCGAATTTTGTGCTCGACCGAAGGCCATCGTCAAATTTCAGAACAAATAAACCCGTTACCAAAGCAGTCGCTGTTTACGCCTTCCGCAGATCATAAACAGAAGACATTGCTTTTTCAGGAGTAAATGAAGATGCGAACCCTGGACTCCCGTAGTAAAGAGGAACAATCGAACGTCCAGCTAAGTGCAGGACTTTGCCATCGAAGACAATGATCGAAATGCAGTAGATGGACTGTTTTCGCAGTGTCTCACCATGCGTTTTCCTGGGTAAGATTGCGTTCGCGCAAAATGACTGTGTGGCGTAGTGACTGCTACGCTGGAGACAGATCGATGTGCCAAATTTTAGGACTTGTCAGTAGCTCAGACCTCAATTTATCCAAGCGGTTACGTCGCGAACGACAAGGTCCTTTCTGTTTTGGGCAAAAAGTGAGTGCATTCCCGGGAGGCCTGCGCCCACAGCCTTTCCTGACTGGCCATTTATCATGAGAGCTGGTTGTAGTTGATGCGTCATTTGTATGGGTCATTGGATCTGGATGTCCCTTGTTGATTGCAGAAGGTTAGTTAATCGTTTCATTACCCCCTCCGCGTCTTGGCCGCATAGTGCTGATGAATCCCCGCCTCAAAGATGCTGCTTTGGAGTAGTTTCTGTTGCAGTTGGGGTGTCACTCCTCAGTCCATCCACTTCCGCATTTTATTTTGGTTTAGCGTCGACCCAAATTCACCTCACCTGGGGATCAGCCTCTCGTGGATTTAAAGACCAGATTGTACGCAGCGAAGTCAGACGAGCTGTTTTCCTTCTTCATCTGTACCCGCTTCAAGTCTTCCTTGCTCTGTCTCGTCTCGGAAACACGGTGAGTACGCTGAAGGTAGGGTGAGATAGGTGCATCGTAAGTCTGTTTCACTGAACTCAGACCTACGAGCGAGTCATTAGTGCGCTCGCGTCGACTCATTGCTGGCCCTCAACCAGTGGTACTTATGAGACGCGTAGTTCGGGCCTTAAAATTACTCATACTGCAGCGCTACCTGCTTAACTACGTCCTCGAAAGTTTTGTCTCATGTCGTAAGTGTGCGCCCCCCTCAACCCTGGATCGAGCGTGCACTCTGCTTCGCCAACTGGAGCTCATGCCAAAGTTTACACTTCCGCAACCACTCCATGAGCTGGTTTATTCAGCTCTCTCTCTCGCTTCGCCCTGATTGGACGCCTGACGACACAGCGGTTAGCCCTGTCTCGTGTTGACGCAATCGCTACAGCGCCCTTGGCTACGTGTGTGTGTGCAGACACACAATCGCTGGAACTCTTCGCCGATTTCTGCATCCGCCATCTCTTGCTCTACGCACGCTGGTCGCGCAATGGCACCGCCACCACCACCAGCGACAGTGGACAAACTCAATGAGGCTGACCGAGAGCGAATCGCCTCCCTCTTCAAGAAGCTCGACGTGGACAAGGACGGCCGTGTCAGCGTGACTGAACTGGCTGCTGTCATTAAGAGTCAGTGGTCCGAGCCCGCCGATGGTACCAGCGGCGTGGAGGCTGCCAAACGGATTATCACGCGAGATGGGAAGCAGTCTGCCTCGGGGCCGGCGGCGCCAACTATGAGCTTCCAGGAATTTGTGGAATATGTGCGCGATACGGAGACCCAGCTGAAGCTGGCTTTCAAGCAGCTGGACCGCAATAAGGACAACCAGGTGGATGTCAGTGAGATTAGGGCCGCGATGCGCGAACTGGGCATCGAGGTGGGCGAGAAGGAGGCGGCCAAACTGCTGCGCAAGATGGACAAGGATGGATCCCTGTCGATCGACTACGAGGAGTGGCGGGATTTTCTCCTTCTCTCTGGCAGCTCCAACATCAAGGATATATTCCATTATTGGAGGAGGGCATCGGCTGTGGATATCGGCGAGGGTATTCTGGTGCCTGACGACTTTACTGAGGAGGAACGGAAGTCCGGAGAGGCGTGGAAGACACTCCTGGCCGGAGGTAAACATTGTCTGTTGACAAGCCTAGGACATTTTAATAGAGCTGTTTACTAGGAGGCAAAATCGATAATCAAACACTATCTGCTCCTCCTCCTACTCACCAGTAGTATAGGCTTCTGCCGATCTCCGTCTTCCAGAACCGAAATACCTAGGGCAGGTATACCTTGATAACGGCTGAAGCATTTGTTTCTCCGTGTCAACAATCCGGGAGACAAGATCAGGGTTAGGGCCAGGATTTTGGAAAGAGCACTTAAACAACTACGGGCTGAAAGTTGGCCGAGGTATGCGTGTGTGTCCTCTACCCATCCACCACACCTGTCAAGTGACCGGTTCGGACAGTGGCTGGGGCCTGGGAAAAGGACAGGAGAGTGAGGTCGACGAATCAGAGCATTTTCCCCACTATAAACAATTCGACGCGCCTGAAGCTACCATGGTGCGCTAAAAACCGTGACTTGGATGGTTGCCAACTGACGGGATAACTTGAATCTCGCAGTCGGCCAAGTGTTGCGTGTTTGTGTGGAGTGACCGGCTGGTGGTCTGAGAGTCAGGCTGTAATGACGCCTTCTTAATGTGACCTTTATAGCACTCCCACTCCATGGGATCCGAGCCGGGTGTGGGAGCAAACCTAGGTGCGGCTTCGGCTGTGCCAGCCTCCATTCTCTTTGTTGCTGTTGGTTGAAAACCTGGTCATTTGCTGCGTGTACCAGGAGGTGTGAGGTGGAACGCCAAGGTGCGGGCTCGACCATGCCATCCACGTGCGCCCTTTGCCGCCCTCCCCCCCCCCCCGGTCTTCTTGACTCGGTCTTGACAGGGGGTTCAGGTGGGGGCGGAGGAGAGAATGTGGTAGATGCTGTGCAAATCTACCATTACTATAAACTAAATCACGCGCAAGTCACCGTGCCCCCTATCACCCCGCTGTGGAGCACGCGGTGGACATCGTCGGCGACGACGGTCGAACTATCGTGTGCCCTCAGAACAGGCCACACTGCAGTTCTGTTGGATAGAGATGACTAATACAGGGATTGGCCTCATGCGATGTGTTCGCGCGATTTCTAAAATAATCGCCGCTTTAAACGCCACGCCACCCCAGCCATTACGTCAATCAGGTCATCAGTCGGCTTGACTTGGACAACGTGAGTGCGGAGAGAGAGGATATGGAATTTATTCTCATGACAAATCATCGCATCTCTAACTATAGCAAAATCTGTCGTTTTTGATCATACCATGAAGCGCTATCAGTCGGAGCAGCCTAGTCCTGTCCAGGACTGCTTGTTAGGCTACAATGACATGGCCTTTATAGAGCTTTCACTTCCGTGCTATCCGCCAATCTCCAACAATGAAGACTGTTGCATTTGGCCGTCTTATGCGTGGCACGTGTAGATGAGTCGTTTAACTTTGTCAACCCCGGTGTCGCCGCCTACTTCTGGTGGTCTCGACATTGTCTTGCCATGGGAGCGCGGTGAGCGGCGGAAGTGAGCGAGTTATTTACAACACGAGTCTGTCCTACAGTAAACCAATCCACGCGAAGGTCACACCTCCGTCCACCTCGTGGGGCAACCGTCGTTTGTGACGGTTTAACTACCGTGTTCGTGGGTTGGCGCTAGTTTGCCAACCTCTGAGCGTCCGTAAGGCGACTGGTATTGTCGATGGTACGTAAACCCTGCTCGCATGCAGGTTCTGATGCGTAAGGACAGCCGAAACCCACTGATTTCATAGTGGCGGACGCTTGATTGGAGGAAGTTAACCGTAAGGAGTGTCATCATAGCGGAGGTTTCATCCTGACGAGCTCATTGGCCAGTAGCACTGCTTACCTTATGGTCCGAATACTCTAGATCACAGCCACTGGTATGTGGACCCAGCAGATCTCTGGGTTGAGTTCAGGTCTCTCGTGATTCTGTGCTGAAGTGGGATATGGACAGCAAGTTTTACACCAAAGGGGCGCTCCGGCTCGTAGAAAGTTAAATTAGTGTCTGGTTTTCCTTTCGCGACGCCTTTTTGGTAAATCATTGTTAGGGCTTTTTCTGGCCTCACATTTAAACTAAACGCAAATTCGATTATCAAAGCCTTAAATGTAATTTCTGTGTGCGCCTGCTTGATGCCGGAGGTGTGCCGAGTGTGCAGATAGAGGGAGAGGGAGGTGCGCATTGTAGATTTAACGAGTCTCTCTGCGGCCTCATGGCTTCATGGCATCCCCGTATTCCCCTCTACCCTCGAGCTAAATCGGATGGGAGTAACGAGTGGGGTTTCCTTGTTTGATGAAGCTCTTCAGTGGCATCTTCAGCTGACCATCCACAATCAGCAAAAACCATTAATAGACACCTTCGAATGGAGAGACCACCGCTGACCTCTATCTATCCGTATGTCATACGGTCAGAACATTTTTTGCCGATTTATAGTGACGAATGCTCGCGTACTGACTTACAGTGAGTGACCGATCTCATGAAATGTTGGCTGAAATTCTGAAATGCAATTTCGATTAGGAAGGATTACCTAGGGGAGTTTGCTATAATGATTATCTTATAACATTATCCTATAATATTTCGGACTTGGCAGGATGTCAGCTTTTGAATGCACTGCTTATCAATCTCCTGTAGAAACCGCACTTCGTAAAAATAGCTACGTAAGTAGCATGCCTTTTTCATACTGATTTTCGATGGTCTTGCAAATTCGAATATATTTTATAAAAACTACGAACAAAATATGCTTTCTTTCAGTTCTGTAATAGATAATCACCTCATTCCTATATTTTATACTCACATAAGGAGTATAATTAGGTTTTAAAAAGTTTCTAATTATGAGATTTTTAAGACCGTGCAATGTCCATTCACACAGCATCGTGCCTGCCCTTTTACCACTACTCCTCATGAAATGTACAACATGGTCCGCATCCACTGCAAAATCTTATGAATTCTGTATGGTATCTTTTTAAAGACATAGAAGAATACGTAATTTTCTCTGCGCGGAAAGCATGCACCTCGTAGACTGAAATCACTAAACGCCAATGCAACGACTGAGCAAGCTCTAAATTATTAGGGGATAAGAAAACTCTTTAAAACCTAATTATACTCCGTTTTCGAGTGAAAAATATGAAAATGACGTGATTCCCTATCAAACGACTGAAAGAAAACATATTTTCGTTTGTGGCTTCAATAAAATATATTTGAATTTGCAAGACCGTCGAAGATTAGTGTGGAAAATGCATGCCACTTGTGTTATTTTTCTACAGGATATTAAAAAGCAGTGCATTCAATAGATTACATACTGACGAGTCCAAAATACTATAGGATTATGTCGCAAGATAATCAGTATTACAACTGCGCCTTACTAGTCTTTCCTGATCGAAAACGCATTTCAGAATTTCAGCCAACATTTCATGAGATCGGTCGCTCTGTGTAATTCCTGCCGAAAACTACCAATATCGCGGTCAGAATACGTGATGCCAAGTTCGAATCCCTTGAGCCTCCAAGGATGCCGTCGGTGTTTGCCAGCACTAACACGAAGAAAGGCTGAAAATCAGGGGTGTACAGGCGGAACCTCCCAATCTCATTCTGTACCTTGACCCATGAACTTCTTCCCAAGGGTCAGTGTAGATTTCAGAAAGAGCAAAGAACTCCTGATATGATCATCGCAGCCCAAAAACTTTAGGACAGTGTGGGAAATGAGGATCAATCCTCACACCGCCTATGTGGATTTCGCCAATCTCGACAACGTGAATCGCGATGTGATTTGAAGGTAATAAGAAGTACATTTTGACCCACCTTCGAAAAATATGGCGGCCTCAGTGTGATTTCGACCCGCGACAGTTAGGTGAAGGCATGGGTGCGGTCAATGCTGTAGCCATCTGAGCTACAAGGCCCCACCGGGAGTCGTGAGTTTGGGTCAGGTTGTCCAAAACACCGATCAACGAAGTGAGTCTGGTAGTCATCTGGTGGGTTCTGGATTGATTGCTGAGGAAATCCTGCTTGGACAGTCAACCTACTGTATCGGATTGCAGTAGGCTGGGCAGTTAAGCTGATCCAAATGCGATTAAACTCACGGCTTCCAGCTGGGTTTTGTAGCTTAGGTGAATACAGCCTTCCCTTTGTTGTCGGGATTTCGAACCCCACCGTGGTCGCCGAGATTTTCACAGTTGGGTCAAAATTAATTATTCAAAATCTACCAAAACATGTAATCGATAATAATAAAATACGTGTGTTCGGCACATTTCAGGCTGCGGACTTCATGACAGAATGATTGGGCATGTGATAGGTAATGAGTCGACATCGAACACCGCGGTAGTATAGGCCTTAAGTAGGACTTTGCCCTCGATCCAACCATATTCAGCCTTAAGCTTTCGCGTTGTTTGTATAACTACTCTAGGGGAATGATCGGAAATCAACGCAAATTATCGAGGTCACCGGGAACTATTTACCATCCTTCACATGCGGGCCGCCATAAAAAAAATACAATAGTCAGGTTACATGATGTGTTTGCTGACAACTGCACACCGAGCGCCACAATTAAAGGGAGCATGCAGCGAAGACTAGACCGGCCGCGCCGAACCCGAATTAGATATCGGCATGCGGAGAATTATAATCAACAAAACGGCGTCAGCCGTCGAAAACACCGACGGCACTGTAACTCCCAATGTTAGACCCGGCGTTTTGTTCAAAAATCGGAGGCTTCATTTGTTGTGAACTTCGCATCCATCATAGAAACTGCGAACTGATGTGAGAGAGCTTGTTTTTTTCAGCACGAACCGACTGCTCTCGAAAACAATATGCTCGACTTTTGAAAACAGTTTGTTTTCCTGAAAGGGTGATACTTATTTTCTATTTTGTATACAGCTTTAACATATGTTTGGTATGGCATAAATCAAATATATCTTTTTCGTCGATATTCTGCCGCTGCATTGCACAACTGCGAGGGGTTCGGCTCGTCAGTGGGTTCCCCAGCATTCCCTGTTTGTTTCCTGGTAGATACTCCAATCTAGAAATGGTCGCTTTTTAATTTCCTCAGAAATTGTCCGCGAAGTTGGAGTAGATCAGTTTATTCAAGGTCTATAGGCTCAGGCCGAGAACTCTGGGAATGATGTGGGACCCTCTGACGAGCCGAACCCCTCGCAGCTGCGCCATGCAGCGGCAGAATATCGGCTAAACACGCGTGTATGGGTTTTTGGCTAGTACCTGTGCTGTTAGTATGGTATCACCTTACCCTAAAGTATACTACTAACTGCATGTCGGCAGTTAATGAATTTTACGCAGTTACCCACTGTGGCTGATGGACTTTGACCCAAATATCATACCTAGCATTCTAGGTCTGAGCCTATAGATCTTGAATAAACTGATCTACTCCTACTTCATAGAAAAGCGACAACATCTGAATTAGTTGACTTCTTTTCAATTTCAATGGGCACAGGTTCACTTTGACAGCAACCTATCTCTGTTTCCCTGCCCTAGGCATAGCTGGTTGCATCTCACGAACGGCCACCGCCCCATTGGACCGTGTCAAGGTCATATGGCAGGCGCGGGGCGGAAAGGCGGCTTCGACGGGCCTGATTGGCTCCTTCCGGACAATGCTGCGGGAGGGCGGCTACGCCTCCATGTGGCGTGGAAATGGCGTTAACTGCATTAAAATTGCTCCCGAGTCGGCTATCAAGTTCCAGGCCTACGAGTTCTTCAAGTCGATCATCAGAGGCGGCCGTCGTGATCCGTCCATTGCCCTGCATGAGAAGTTTCTGGCAGGCGCAATGGCCGGTGCTACGGCTCAAACTCTCATCTACCCAATGGAGGTTCGTCTACCGCCCTTGCGATTTATGTTAATAACCTTTAGTCGTATTAACATGCGACTTGAACTTGATGCCAGCAGCTCTGCATGACACGAGAGACTGACTTGTTTCATGCTACAAGTTAGACTATTGATAGAGAATGCGTCCATTGGTTAGAAGGTTTGTCCGTGTCTACCACCACTGTGGCAGGAGTTGGATGGATCGAGTCCCTCGTATGGGGGTTTACTGTTTTAAAGTTGGACCTTTTCTGCCGACCGGCTGGCGTCTGGAAATTGGTTAGTCACGACTGTATCTTATCCCCCCCCCCCATCCCCGAATGGTCCCACTCAATTTTAGTAACGGTCGCTCATCAAGAGACTGATCGACCTGCTTCAGCCTGGCTTTGTAGAGCTTCGTAGGTGGAGGGGGAGATCGATGCGCCTGCTGATCAATTTCTAGGCGGATTCTCATTTTATGACCACACTCCGCTCGCGGCTTGTCAAACTGACCCTGTGGCAGCCAAGTCCAGGGCTTAATTGGCTTTCAGATTGTAGGCAGACATGACAACCAACCGGTTTCAGTCACTCCGCTGTTTGCGCACTCGCTTTCCAAATTTTCACTCCATTTGGCCTGTGTACTTCCGTCTCCACTCAGTTCATGGGATGCCTTACCTGCGTCGGATGTTGCGTTCTATGACCTGCAAGTAACAAGTGAAGTTTCGCAAAACCATCGACCGCTTTCCGTCGATTCGCAGTAGGTGGTACAGTAGGTGGGCTAACTCAGGAAATGTCAATCGCAATTTCGAAATGCGTTCTCGTTTCGAGAAGATTAATTAAGTAGGGTTGTAAAACTAATCCGTATGCAGTATGATTCTATAGTACTTCAGTTACCTCAGGATGCCGGCTTTCTAGGGAACTCCTTCCGGCTGCATGCAAAAACTACACTCTGTAGAAAATGACAACCTAAGTAGCACGACGTTTTCTCATTGATTTTCGATGCCCCTAAAAGTCCAGTTATAGTTCATGGAAAACATGCATAAAAATATTCATTGTTCTGCTCATTCGGTAGAAAATTGCGTTTTTTTTAAGTTTATGCTCAAAGGAATGGTATTATTCGGCTTTCAAAACCTTTTCCAATTCCCGAATAATTGTGAACCCGCTCTGCCGTTGCACTTGGATTCTGGGTTTTTAAACTACAAGCCGTATATTATCCGCATACGGAAAACTACATATTTCTCTACGGTAATAAAGGGGGATCATATAGCGTTTATAAAATTTAACAATGGATTTAATCCATATTATTAATTTTACAAGCCACAATGGTAAATGCAGAGACATGACGATTTATGAACGGCCATTTCATGGTACTTCAAAGTTCCAAAATTAGAAACTTTTGCAAAACCAAATTATGTTCCGTTTTAGAGAATAAAATTAGAAGAAGACGTAATTATCTACCGAATGAGCAAGAGAATGAATATTTTATGTCTGTTTCCCATACAATACAATAGGACTTTTAGGGGCATCGAAAATCAGTGAGAAAAATACATGCCACCTAAGTAGTCGTTTTTACAGAGTGTAGTTTATGCATGCAGCCGGAAGGAATTTCATTCGAAAGCCGGCATCCCGATGTAACTGAAATATTATAGAATTATGCTGCAGGCTGACTAGTTTTACAACCCTACTTAATTAATCTTTTTGAAGCGAAAACGCATTTCGGAATTTAGGTTGACATTTGGTGAGTTAGCCCACCTACTCTATGTCTCAAGAACACTGAGTGAAATTCTGAATTTTGATCTCGATTAGAGAGGACGGTTGTACACGAAAATACGGATCCCTCCACCTGCATTACAGGTGGGCTTACCCTCAATTTGATGGAGATTGGGATTAGTGTTGGTCGAAAGGATTAGAATGGATTACCTTGGTGGGTTAAGGACATTTCAGTCACATCAGGATGCCGGTCTCCTACTGAGCTACTTTGCGTCCGCCTGCAAAAGCCAAATTCGGAAATAAACGACTACTTAAGCAGCACGATTTTTTCCCATTGCTCCGCGACGACCTTATAAATTCAACTACATGTTACAGCAAACGTGCATAAAAAATGTTTTCGTGACCATTTGTAAGAAAATCCTGCCTTCTTCATATTTAAAACTTGAAAAAGGCTTCGTCAGGTTTTTTAAAAAAACTTTTTTTCAGTTCCGGAACAATTTGAAACCCAACCTGCTGTTTCACTTGTGCTTATGCCTTTTAAATTACATGTTGTACACCTTCCGCCTAAGGAAAATCATACATTTCTCTACGCAAAAACCTACAGGGCTCATAAAATCTTACAGTGAATTTGGACTATGTTGTATACCCCGTGAAAAGCATAAATAAACGGACAGACACTACTATCTAAACGGAAATTTCTTGACCTTAAAATCTGACAATTCGAAACTTTTCTAAATACCGGAAGCTATCTTTCCATCAATAATAATAATATCTGAAGGCGTCATCTGCTATCAGATGAGCACAAAAAGGAATATTGTGAATATGTTTCTTGTAACACATATTTTGACTTTGAATTTATGGAGCCATCGAAATTTGATAGACGCCATGCATACTAATTAAGCAGCTACCTTTTTCGAGTTTAGGGTTTCAGCAAGCAGCCGGAAAGAAACACATCTGCATGTTGAAAGCCTGGTGTGACCGGAATATCTTAGGATTGTACTGTGCGAAAATTATTACTATACTCCCGCTGAAGTATTCCATTCTACTCGAAGAATATTTCTTTCCCTGGAAAGCTGCAGCACAATCTCTCCGACGACTAACAAGCCAGAAATGGCCATTCCAGTCGCCCTTGTTTCCGTCGGTGATAACGTTCTGCCTATATCATGCGCCGCTGTGCGGCTGCTGGTTGGGCTCGTGAGAGAGCCCATAAAGCACAACGGAACGTGTGAGTTCCGTATGAACGATCGGTGAGCGCCCCCTACCATTGTATATTCCCGATCGAAAACCGACAAGGCAACGGGCTCGTGGCCCGGTGAGTAGAGGCGTTGACTTCTAAACCAACAGGTCGCGAGTTCGAGGCTCGGGTGTTCCACACTTCGGGCTTGGGTATGGCTGGCTGACGACGGCTAATAAGCCAGAAATGGCCATTCCAGTCTCCCTTGTCTTTGTCGGTCATGCTATTCTGCCTATGTATCATGCGCCGCTATGCAGCTGCTGGTTGGGCTCGTGAGAGGACCCGTAAGGCACAACCGAACGAATGAGTTCCTTAAGGACGATCTACCATTGTAGATTTCCGACCGGAAGCGACAGGACAAGGGGCCCGTGGCCCAGTTGTTGTAGGTGTTGGACTTCTTACTAACAGGTCGCGAGTTCGAGCTCCAGGTGTTCCACAGTTGGGGGTTGGGTATGAATTACTGACAACGACTAATAAGCCAGAAAGGGCCATTCCAGTCTCCCATGTCTTTGTCGGTACTAACATACTGCCAATATCATGCGCTGCTGTGCGGCTGCTGGTTGGGCTCGAAAGAGAGCCCGTAAGGCACAATGGAGAGAGTGAGTTCCGTAAAAAAACAAACGGCGAGCACCCATCTACCACTTTCCTGCAGTCAAAATCTCCGGATTTTCATCGATCACAAGCTTCGGTTATCCGCAAGCTTATCTAAATTCACGCTTTCCGCCAGGAAGCATTGTGCACTCCGCTTGAAATCTAATTAGATTGCAGGTGCATTCTTCTCCGGCCTGAAAACCTGGCCTGACTCACACCGCCTTTGCCTTCTCACGCACTCAAAACGCCCCAGCGGTGAAGTAAGTCGCCTATGGCGAAAGGGTGCTGGAAGTGGATGCTTTGGATCACACTGCGGCGTTCAATTTTACTGCTTTGGCCGCGTTTCTCGACGCACAGTAATCGCAGTCATTTGCGTGATGCTAAACTAGCGGAGGTGTGTTGACACCCAGATGACTGCCGAGGTCCATTGGGACGTGGCAACTTTCTATGAAAAGGACCAGTGGGATTGAGACAGCTGGAGATCTTAAAGTCGGTATTGGGGAAGAACAGCTGGAAAGGGTTGGTACTGCGATGCTCTTCAATCGGAGCGGTTGTTAGGGTATGGTTGTTGCGCAAAACAGGGCTTCGCAGAAGGTCGAATGAAGACAGCATGTTACTAGCTTTGGTCAAAGCGCAGTGACCACCTCGTGCAGCTAGGTATTTGGCGCGGTATATATGCTACCTCATGAAATATTCGCCGATATTATAAATTGCGTTTTCGATTCAAAAGAATTACTTAAGCAGGGTTGTCATATTTATGTCGCATGATGGTAACATACTCCACCACGTCAGGTTGTCGGTTTTCGAGTGAGCTCTTTACCGACAGCATTTACAGCTACATTCGGCAAAAATGGATACTTAAGCAGCATGATTTTTCCCATTTATTTTTACTGCCCTTTCAAATTCAAGCGTATGGTTTAAAAAACTTGTTCGAAAATATCCCTTCTCTTACTCATTTGGTAGCAAACTGCGTCTTTTTAAAAAGTAATGCTTGGAGAAAATTAGTTGGTTTTAATATCTTCCTCGATTCCCGAATATTTTCAGGTCAGGTCTTCCAAACTACATGCAACATGAAAATAGCCTGTTTTGGCTTGCTCACTAAAAACAGCTAGTCATATCTCAACGCCGGATGCTGGAGTCCCTCACTGAGTACTTATATTAACCGCTTGGATTTGTAATAGAGAGTGATATCGACGACTCAGCGAATTATGCCACGCTATAAACAATCTGACGAGCTCGAAGCTATCATGGTGCACTGAAAGCCGTGGCTCTGAAGGTTGCCATCTGGCGGAATAACTTGAACATCGCAGTCGGCCGAGTGTTCTGTGTTTGTGTGGAGCGGCGGACTTGTGGGTTGAGAGTCGGACTGCAATGGCTTCTTCTTAATGTGGCCTTTATGGCACTCCCACTGCGTGGTATCTGGGCCGGGTGTGATTGCACGCCTAGGTGCGTCTCCGGTTGTGTCAGCCACTCTTTTTGTTGTTGGCGAAAATCCTGGTCATTTTTTGTGTGGTCCAGTGGATGTGGAGTGGAACGCCAAGGTGCGGACTCGACTGTGCCATCCACCTGCGCACTCCCCCACCTCCGGTTTTCTCAACTATGTCTTGATACCGGATCCAGGTTGGGCAGGATAGAGTGCGATAGATGCAGTGCAAGCTTCCATTCGCTATAAGCTAAATCACACGCAAATCACTGTCGCTGCTCCACATTGCTGTGGAGTACGCGGTGGACATCGTTGGCACTCCCACCTAGTAGGATCCAAGTCGCCCAACTCCTGTCTTGTTGTGTGTGAAATCCTTGTTAATTGTTTGTTTAGAACCAGGTGTTGTGGTGGCGCGCTTGGATATTAGTTTTCTCCATGCTAGCCATATGCGCCCTCTCCCCCTTTAGCTTTATTGACTCTTTCTTGATACCTATCCCAGGTGGATGGGGGAGGAAGGGAGAGTGTGGTAGATTCGGCACAAGTCTACAATCACTATAAACTACTTCAGGTGCAAGTCACCGTGTTTGCTTCCTCTTGCTGTGGAGCTCGTGGTGGATGTCGTCCGAAATGACGGTCGAATTCTCACCAATTGAACGCCCATTTTAAGAACCATTTCTAACAAACCTGCCTTTATCAACCAGCAATCACGTTATATATTGCGATTTTAGTGCTGATTCCTCTGGTTGGTACATCAGTAGTCTGGATTTATATCCACTTTCCTCCCGTCCAAAGCCGTTTCCAAGAGCCACAATGTCCCACTTAACATTCTCTTCTTGTCTTCCCATCTCCAGGTCTTAAAGACACGGATGTGCCTACGCAAGACCGGTCAGTACTCCTCCATGTTCGACTGCGCCCGTAAACTGTACGCTGAGCATGGCATCGGCATCTTCTACCGCGGTTACGTACCCAACCTCATTGGCATCCTGCCCTATGCAGGTATCGACTTGGCTCTCTACGAGACCTTCAAGAACGCCTACGTGAAGGCGGTGGGCCCCACGGCCGAAGCGGGTGCTCCGCCGGTCTATGTCTCCCTCACAGCCGGCGCTCTCTCCTCCGTGTGTGGTCAGGTGGCCACATACCCGCTGGCGCTTGTGAGGACTAAACTTCAGGCACAGAGTGAAAAGGTAAAGTACATATATATATATATGATAAAAGTATTGTACCGTACTCCCGACATAGAAACAGTAGTTGGGCTAACTCAAGAAATGTCAACCAAAATTCCGAAATGCGTTCTCGTTTCTAAAAGGTCAATTGAGTAGGGTTCTAAAACTAATCGGCCTACGCATAATTTTGTAATATGTCAGTTACCTCAGGATGCCGGCTTTTGAACGAACTTGCCTCCGGCTGCATGCAGGAAATACACTCTGTAACAAATGAGTACTTATGTAGCATGAATTTTTCTCATTAACTTTTGATGCCCCTAAAAGTTCAATTATATTTCATGAAAAATATGCATAAAAATATTCATTCTTTTGCCCATTCGGTAGATAATTACATCTTCTTCCAATCTTATATTCAAAGGAAAGGTATAATTCAGTTCCTCTATTACAAAACACTAGCCTAATAGTGGTCACTCCGTCGACCCTAAAGATGACTACTTATGAAGCATGCACCATCTCATCTACGTCTACTACTAGTCGCTGTGCGACTGCCTGCGAGGGTTCTAGTATGAGCCCCAAGGCATAACGGAACGAGCATGTTCCGTAACCTGATCGGTGAGCGGCCATCTGTCATACTTACCATTCTTGATCACAACCGACAGGACAACGGGCCCGTGGCTCAATGGTAGAGTGTCAAACTCCATGACACAAGATCCCGGGTTCGAATATCAAGTTATCCACACGTGGGGTCGGGTACGACTGGCTGCTGACGGCTAATAAGCCAGAAATGGCCATTTCGGTCTCCCTTGTCTTTGTCGAAACCATCTCATATATATATATATATGCAGAGATTATATTACCGACAAAGACAAGGGAGACTGGAATGGCCATTACTGGCTTATTAACCGTCGTCAGCCAGTCACCCAACCCCGAAGTGTGACACACCCGAGGCTCGAACTCGCGACCTGTCAGTTAGAAGTCCACGCTCCTAACCGCTTGGCTACGTGGCCGTTGCCCTGTCGGTTTTCGATCGGGAATATACAATGGGAGGGGGGACGCTCACCGATCGTTCCGTTGTGCCTTACGGGCTCTCTCTCTCGAGCCCAAATGGCTGACGCCGGCTAGTAAGCCAGAAATGGCCATTCCCAGTCTCCCTTGTCTTTGTCGGTAATGCCATTCTGCCTTTGTCATGGTCCGCTGTGCGGCTGCTGGTTGGGCTCGAGGGCGAGAGCTCCTAAGGCACAATGGGACGAGTGAGTTCCATAGAAAAACGATCGGTGAGTGCCCCCTCTACCAGGACAAGATTTTATTGGAGTGTTCAGGGTTCGTGCGAGTCCATAAGCACTGCCGTTCATGCCTGTTACACGATATAGACGTTGAATGCACGACACACCAGTTACTGCGCCCACTTCATTCACTCGTCTTTTGACAGACTTTGACATTTTATAGTTGCATGAGAAAGAGAAGAGAAAATGAGGCCGACAGGAAACATATACGAATTCCCCGCTACAACAAAATTGACGCGTTTCAACCCATTATGACACGTTAAGGGGTGTGACTTGAAATGAGGTCAACTGACGCGATAAGTCGGTTCTTCTTAGGACTGAGAATCAGGCTGAAATAGTTTCTTCCTAATGTGGCCTTTACGGCGCTGGCACCGATTATAAGTATGCGTCGTCCTTACAGTAGCCTGGAACATGTCTTGGGAACCAGGTTGTGTGTGGCCCGCGTAGGTGAGCCGTTTGTCTTTGCCACTCTCTGCGGCTGTATCCCTGTCCGATCGTCTTGACAATGCCTTGCCACTGGGGCAGGATTGATGGGGAGGCGTTAGTGTTGTAGGGGCTGAACAAGTCTGTCTCACTATCAGCCAATTACCTGAAAGTACAGTAGAAATATCAACAAGGATAAGGGAGACCGGAATGGCCATTTCTGGCCTATTTGCATCATCATCACCATCAAAGTGGGATTTCGTCGAGTTCAGATACCAAGTTGGCCCTCATAGCCGCTGTCCAGCGTGCTATCCGTTAGCACTGAGGCTATTAGAGGCCTCTAGGTTCTGGGCAAGTTGGTCAAACTTGCCGAAGACCAATTTCGTTAGTCTTCACGGCCACTCAGAATGAACCCGCTCTGAACTACTAACTACTTTAATAGTAGGCCCCCATTTGCTTTCAGTAATTGTATCGGGTCCGTTATTCATTCAGTAGCGGACAAGGCAAGTCAGACTTCATGCAGTTCCAGTATACGAAACTATGCATTATTTAGTGCTTTGGCGGGTCAATGCACAGTCCAGAATTTCTTTGTAACGAACGTATTACTCTACGCCTAGTCGGGTATCCACAACTGGCTTAAGCCTAGTAACTTGCGCTAGTACCTTGCGTGTCAGAGTGTCTTATTATAGCAAACTGGTCAAATTTCTGACTGATCGAAAAGTTTTCTTGACAATGACTAGGAAGCCTCGAGTGGACGCTTCTGCTAACAGTCAGTCATACACATCTATATGCCCGAAGGCATGACGCGATCGGTCCGTATTTCGCCCTAATTTCAGGACGCGTCGATGGTCACCACTATGTCACGAAATTACATGTTTGTGGTTGCGACCAACTAAGTGTTGGCCTGGCCGTTCTGGTGATATGAGCGATTAACTCAACATGCGCGATTGCTCACGTAACCCCAGTTCAAACCTCGGGATGTGATTGGCTGATGACGCCACTGTTAACACTCCTAGATTACTGACTGTTTGTGGCCACTGACACTGAGATTTCGTGATCAGGATGCATCGGGAGCGTAACTGTCTCGTGTTAAAACTATCGATACTCTCTGACAAAACATACTCCAGGCACTTTGGAAGGCCTAACAGCGTGCAAAACTCAAGCCGTGTCTTTTAAAGAAGGAATTTGCTCTTTTTCCTAGGAGGCAAAAATATCCTGTGTTGAATAACATTAGCAACAAACACAAGAGAGACTGGAATGGCCATTTCTGACTTATTTAGCCGTCGTCAGCCAGTCATACCAAACTGGACGGGGGAGTTCCGCAACACGATCGACAAGCGCCAATTAACCATTGTATAGTCCCAGTCACAACCGACAGGACAACGAGCCCGTGACTCAGTGGTTACCGGGCGTTTGACTTCTAAACAACAGGTTGCGGGATCGAATTCCAGATGCCCCACACCCCGCGGCTGGGTGTGACTGGCTGACGACGGCTAATAAGCGATAAATGGCCATTCTAGTCTTCCCTCTCTTTGTCGGAAATAACATTCTGCCTATATCATGCACCGCCGTGCGGCTGCTGGTTGGGTTCGAGAGAGAGAGTCCGTAAGGCACAACGGGACGAGCGAGTTCCGTAACACGATCGGCGAGCGCCCATCTACCAAATCCTGGGTTCTGTTAAGTCTCAACCACCAAGACGATATAAAAGGCCATAGCATGATAATAATTCATGCAGTTATTGTCGAGCTCATTTAGAGAAATGCTGGAATTGAACGTGGAACGAAAAACGACGGGAATGTATGCAAAGCTTCTAAGCATCGGTAGATTATTAGAGTTTTCTCAGATGCATAGTTCAGAATTTTTTCCACGTTTTCTTCGAGAACGTACTCCTAAGGCAAGACCGGTTTTGACCTTATCTTCCAAGTTTTAACCACCATCTGTCCTGCCCTCATTAAGGTCTCTGGCTGAATCCCTTACCTCTGCATTCTCCTGATTTTCAGAGCTCAATGGAAAAAATGTTTAAAAGCATTTTAAAAAACGAGGGCTTTGCCGGACTCTACCGTGGCATCGGTCCGAATATGCTAAAAGTCATCCCCGCAGTCAGCATATCCTATGCATGCTACGAGCAATGTCGTGGTCTGTTTGGCATTTAATGTGAAAATGGACTGTTCCCTAGCAGTGCTGGGAACACTTCCCCCCCCGGACAGCCAGTTCGGACAGCCTCGCCTTTCCTTATTTTTTTTTATTCCTATGAATCCTTACTTTCGTTTTCGCGCTTTTGACTTCTGCTCTGTATTTCTTTCCGATCGCTTGTTATGATGACATCATGTGTGTTCTTTGAAGTACAAAATACAAATGGCATGACCGCTGAACTCCAAAGCTGACTTGTTATTCGGGCAAAAGTCCTGGCGAACTGAATGGGAGTGGGAATTCCCAGGTATGGCAGTTGCCCTTATGGTCGTAACCTGGAGGGTGTTTATTTGCGGGGTGACTCAGAGACCCCTTCCGGGCTGGCAATCAAGCTGCACTGATTCCTTAGCCAGTCCCTCTTAGCAAGTCTCCTTGATGATAGATCGAGGGCTGACCTTGGCAACGGTAGAGTGAAGAACCCCAATTGGCTGTACAGTAGGTGAGTCAACTCATGAAATGTCAACCGAAATTCCAACACGAGTTTTCGTTTCGAAAAGATTGATTAAGTAGGGTGGTAAAACTAATCAGTCTGCAACATAATTCTATATTTCCTTTACCTCGGGATGCCGGCTTTTAAATGAACTTCCTTCCGGCTGCATGCAAGAACTATACTCTGTAAAAGATGACTATATATGTAACATAAATTTTTTTCATTGATTTATGGCGCCCCTAAAAGTTCAATTATATTTCTTGGAAGACATGCACAAAAATATTCATTCTTTTGCTCATTCGATAGATAATTAGGTTTACTTCTAGGTTTATACTCGACGGGGGAGATTATTCGGATTGAAGAAAGTTTTTAATTGTGGGACTTTTAAATACAGTGAAATGGCCTTTCATAAATCGTCATGTCTCTGCATTTACCAATGTTGCTTGTAAAGTTAACAATATGAATCAAATCCACTGCTTACTTTTATGAATCCCATATGGCCTCCCTTCATTACCGTGGAGAAATGTGTGGTTTTCCGTTTGTGGAACATATGCGGCTTGTAGTTTGGAAACCCTGAATCCAAGTGTGAGGGTAGGTCGGGTTAAAAATTATTCGGGAACGGGGAAAGTTTTTGAAAACTGAATTATGCCCTTCCTTCGTGCGTAAGATTGGAAGGAATGCTGATAGAAGCGAACAGGCGAGTCCCAGGTAGCAGTTCAGAAGATGAAGATGCGATCACTGGGACAAGAAGTTTATTGGCCTGACGTTTCGGGTTCTCACTCGAGCCCATCATCAGAGACATTCGCAGATAGAGGTAAAGGTGGCACCAGGAATGCAGTATTTATAGCACGTGGCTGCCGTGGGACCGTATGCGCACTGCAATTAACAGTTCTCACAATCGCCGCTGGGGTCGTAATTGATGCGGCGGTGGCTTGGCGGTCCGAGTCCGAGTTGTTAATTGCCGCGATTTCGTCATCCGTGCTCGATGCTGGTGTGACGATTGCTCGGCAAACTGGCTCACTGTCACCGTGATAATTGCTCACCCGCGCCCTCCCCACGTGACTGATTCTCCTGCCCAGGGAAAATCGCAA